ATTTAAGCATTCTACAAGTACTAATGATGTTTAATCAATGTGTTCTCTTTCAAATACAGTTTAATAGGTTTGTATTTTAGAACTGCATAAGAAGTTTTCAAGAAGTCCTAAGATTCTACTTAAAACTAATCATTTTAATTTAAATACAATGTAGGATGCCATTTGCATTTAAATTATGATAAGAATACAGTAGATCTATTGCATGTAGAGGTACAGTAGCTAACCTCCTCAAGCCTTGCAGCAAGTTGTGACAAGTTTTCAGGAACAAATTTCTCTCCCCTCCAGGGATGCTGGAGGAACCTCTTCCAGTACTGCGAGGTAAGTGTCTCACCACAGGTCGACACCCATCTCTCACACACAGTTATGCCCTTGCGCATCGCATCCTTAACTTGCTGGAATGAGTCAAGCCAGATGTCAAGCATACCAAGCTTCCGTTGGACATAACGACCCAAAGCGCCAGCCATAACATCTAAAAGGTGTTTCATGCGTGCCTCGGGATATGGCTTATGATCCTCTTGTTTCCAGATCTCGTCAAGAGAATCTTGAGTAGACTCCAGAAGTTCCAGGACATCGTCAAGATCCAGTGCATCAAGATTAGAAAAATCTTGAGATACATTTCCTGCAAATAAAGTCTCTTCAGTAAAAAAAGTAAAGTGCACTTAGTATTCAAGACAGTTATGCAAACCCTCAACTCCATCTCGGATTTGATTAACCTTCAAGAATTCCCTCACCCTCCCGAGTGAGTGGAAGTATGTCAAAGGGGCACCTTTTTTCAATTAAAGGTATCTATTCAAACGGGGTACCTTTTCTGTCAAAATGGTATACAAAAGGGTACTGAGTTGGACCTTGGGGCAGAACCTCCCCATATAGAATTTTTCAGAGTACCCCCCCCCCACGCCAAGGACAGGGGGGGGCTTAGGGTAACAAGCCAAGATCATGACGAAAATGATGATGATGTTCACCAACAGACAGCTACTTTTGACAACCCTTTTATGGGTATAATCGCCTACACCTTGAAATCGCCTGATTGCATTCAATGCTCAATGTATGAGCCCAAATGTATTTTTACTGAATCCAATTGCCATTACAAACAGAACTTATTACATGCACACGTAAGGCTGTGAGCACGCAGGATGAACCAAATCCTACGCTGTGATCAGCTATACGAGTGGGCAAGATGGCACCATCTTGCCTGCTCAGGATTACCCACTGTGTCCTGCGAGAAAACAGTGTTATTTGTCCAATATAAATCCTTTATTGACCAAGCTTGGCTTGTTCGGTCAAGATGGCTGGATATTGGCCTCTGTCTCTTTCTTTGCTTGTACAAGATGTATATGAGAACTTGGCCAATACCCAACCATCTTGTCCTCACACTTGGTCAATAACCCATATAAATTTACCACTAAATATGCCCAAGGAGCATTCAATATAAAAGCCATTCAAAAATGGCGCCCATGCTGAGTCATACTGTACATGTACATTGCACGTAATTTATGACATTTGTATCAGACTTGTGGCTTCTAACAGTCGCTACCAATCTCGAAAAAAATTATTTCCATAGCAAGAATGAAGAAAACAATTAAAATAGCAGTTTGGAAATAGTGTTTTTTTGTTTGTATTGCGAAGCGGAAATTTATTTTCTCCATTTGTTGCTATGGACGACGACATAAGCAAACCTATTTTGTGTCAAGTCGCTTACCTTTCTGAAAACTTTCTTGAAAAAAAGATGCCCTTTCCCTCTCCGATAAATCATAGCCCGACACAGATGCGTCCGACCAATATTGAAACTCGTCTTGCGGAGTCAAAATCCCGCCAACATTGTCTTCATCGCCCACATTAGCTGCTCGCGAAGAAGAGCTGTCTTGTTTTCGCACAACACTTCCCAAACCGGCTTCGAGCTCGCTCAACAGACTCTGTAGTTTCGGGTCGAAATTTCGGCTCCACTTTTCATCCTTTAGCAATAATGGAGCAAACACTTTCTGTACAGAGTGGTACAGGGTGTTTACCGGCGAAGAAAGCATCGACGAAACGAAAACGTTTTGGTGAAGATTGTCCGGAGTGATGGCCTCCGGTTGAAGCTTGAAGAAGACCAACACTTTCTCTGCCGTGTCACTTGGCTCGACATGACTCGACAAATTTATAGATTTCTTTCCTTGGTGGACGTCATATTTTGCAGCTAACACTGGCGAATTTCCATCATCTAAGAAAATGTTGAGTTCCTTCGAAGAATAAACTTCGTTCAAAACACTGTCGGAGCTTTGAATTCCAAAATAATTGCCGGTGGTTGCAACGACAAAGTCTTTCCTTGCATCTCCAGAAGGCATGTTTGAATGACTAGCTGTTACGTTCCATATTAGATGGACTTTGAATCACAGAAAAATCTTCTATTCGAAGTAATCAGTTCATTTTTACAGTAACTTTAGATCGAAAATGCGAATAACCAAGACGATTTTCCTCGGTTGTGGAGGGAAAATTCTTTCTGCGCGGAAGACTGAGTCGAGGGTTTTGAGGTAGGAAATTTGCATTGGAGTGAAGTAGTGAAATGCGGATTTTGGAATGCGATTTAAATTGACGTAGAAAACTTCGAGTAATAAAAGCTGAGAATGGAACAAAAAATTAAAACTGAAGAAGTTCAAGAAAATAAACAAATATAACTGCTCAGAAGCCGCAACATAAGAGCAGAAAGTAAAGAAAAGCAGCGGGGAACTGTTTCATGCGTCGTCACGCAACGCTTTGTAACGCATTCATTTGTTTGGGGAATATACATGTACTAAGCCAATCGAAGGTCATCGAAACTTTTCCTTTCTGTGATATCGTTTCCGGCAAGGAGTAGCCTCTGTTGCCACCCGCAGCTTGTCTGTTTTAGGAATTTGAGATTCAAGTGATGAAGTGACCGTAACACAACACCGACATTGGAGACTTATTTGGTTGGGAACTTTTCTCTTCTTTTCATGGCAGTCGCCACACTTAGAATTCTTCTTGGTCCATAATCTAAAGTAGTTGGAAATGAAAACTAATTTATGGAAAAAGTGAAGGTGTAGTCTGCGTAGCTGGCAGCATTTCGCTAGGTCGCGTCTGCGGCGCAGGCTACATAATTTTCGCGTGCGAGTACTTTGTTTGGACTGTGGAGGTTTTTGCACTCGTATGAGTTTCGAGTCACCAAGATATCAACCGAGTTGGGTTCGAAACCTCCTGCTACCCCTTGTTTCAGCGGTGAAGACTCTAGCAAAGCTGCGAAGCCGCGAGGATTGGATGAAATTGCCTGTCAATAAGGTTTGGAAACAAATACAAGAGTGCGCCCTCCCCGGGACGCCTTCTATGTCTTCTATGCCTTCTATGCCTTCTATTTGATCGTTGAGCTTTCGAGAGTGTTTGTGCGTGTAATCACGCTTTCTCGTATGATACATCACATGATCCTTGAGTTTCCGGTGTCAGTTTCAGCCTCACGTGATGGTTTTGGCTTCAACTTCTCTGCTGCTTACCGAGAATAATCAGTTACTTGTAATCATGGCCGGTACACGGATTCAGCTGGTTATTTTCCTTCTAAGTCTTACCTTAGTTCGCGGTGACGAGCTGCGGTTTCTTGTAATAGGTGACTGGGGAGGAATACCTATCTGGCCATATACAACCCCGTACGAGACAGCCGTCAGCAAAGGCATGGGGAAAATCGCACAACAACTGGGAACACAATTTACCGTCGCTCTCGGTAGGAAATATGGATTTTATTGCCTCGAAGATATCGTAGATTAATTCAGTACAACTGTACCATGGGCAAATGATGCTGGTAATTTTGCACGTGGAGACAAAGTTTGTTGGGACGCTATTTCAGACAAAAATATGCGACGTTTAGCACGTTTAGAGAACCTGTTTTGGAACTCCGGCGTTTCTATTATGTAACCCAAAGTTAACTAGAAATGGCTTCCTTTTGCGAAAACGTTAGAGGAGAGCATTAAATGAGTTGCGTGCAGACTTCTGTTATTTACTTTGTTTCAAGATGAGTGCACGGTTTCAAATCCCCCGATTTTTTAGGAAAAATAGCTATGTTCACAACATCATTCCGTTAGGCACAAACTGCTCAAAATTAATAAGGGACTCCCCACTGGGTCTTTCATCGTTTCTGTTTGAAGTCCTCTGATACCGACACGAAGTGGATCTCCTTTAGAACGAAGTGCCAGATGAGTTGGAGAGTGTGTTCGATACAAACGGGGATTCGTTATAAACGAAAAATTCCCGTTATGACGAATTTGCTTGACGAATTTACTGGAAAATCCGATTAAAATCGGGCCAAAATCCTCTTGATCTTGGGTTTGGGTAATACTGAGCTTTACCGTGTTCGAACCACTCACAAAGGGATAGAATAAGATCAAAGGATATCTGTTTAATTTCGCATTCTACAAGTACATCCGCGTGATGACATCTTATTATGCTAGAAGTCTACAGCTCGCTCACGCGCGATCATACTCGCGGTGTCGCGGGCGTCACTACATTAGGTATTGTTTCATGCATTTGACTTTATATAATAATTAAATGAATGCGCGCGCTCTGATTCAGCTATGGTTTATTGTGCCAGTAAACTCATGGAAATTTCGCGTGTCTTCTGACTTGGGATGTTGAGAGAATACTCGAAGAATTCGTAAATCACTCGCCTGCGGCCCGTGATTTACGAATTCTTCTCGTGTTCTTTCAACATCCCGCGTGGTTTATCAGCCTATAAACCATAAAACTCGTGGTCTATTGCTTAAGTAACTTCAAGCTAACAAATAATGGTCATCTGCCCAAATAGTGGCAATAGGTTACAGTTAGAAATATGATCTTGCTACAAGTAATGAGACCGTTTCCGATTGACTTTGTTCAGGTGACAACTTCTACTTGAGTGGAGTAAAAAACGTAGATGACAAGAGGTTTGAAGAAACATTTGAAAGCGTGTTCACCGCCAAATCCCTGATGACCCCGTGGTACTTTTGCGCCGGAAATCATGATCACCGTGGCAACGTATCAGCCCAGATCGCGTACAGTTCCAAATCAAAGCGCTGGAATTTCCCAGACTTTTACTACACCAAGTCTTGGACGATTCCTGGTAAGTGCTGTTTGTTAACCGTCTCCTCACCCGCAAGAATATGTATTAATTAATTTGCTTATTTATTTATTAATTAGTTAATTAATAATATTACCTTAATCAAGCTTTGAAATCTGATTGCTTGTTTTGTTTTAGAGTTCCACTCTCTTTGGTAGGTAAAAAGATGTAATTTAGAGCAAAAAAACAGCGATTGGTGAATAGAAGCTATTGTCACAGGAGCCATGAATAAATCGCACTGCTGAGAGCCAATCAGATTGCAAGGATAACCACTGATTTAAAACTGGATGTAATAAATCGATTAATCAGTCACTGTGATTGTCTTTCCCTTTAAGGTTCTGATGAGACACTGCAGTTGGTTCTTTTAGACACAGTGCTGCTTTGTGGTAACTCGGGACATGATCAATCACATGCACAGCCTGAAGGTATGTAAACGACTTTCTAGATGCTTCTTTGGTGAGTGATCTTCCACGTTGCTTAGTAAATTATGATCCTTTTCATCGTCCTCGTTGTACGCATGCTCGGACGATAAAAATCGGAAACACCGCGGTTACTGCGAGGATTTGCCGAACATAACTCGACTGAGCATTTGAATGGCGTGAGCAATTCTGTGGCCTGCAAATCATACAGGAGACGAAATGGAATAAAATTAAGTGCACTTCTCCGGAAACTGGTAAATAACGGCTTACACGTCGTTATTATAAGCACTTTCTTTATAAGAACGATCAGGTTGAGCTTATTCTGTGCATTGTATAGAAAAAGTTTGTCAATCTGCAGAAGGACTAAATCTGTCCACACACCCTCTATTTTTTATTTGAGTTCGTCGAGATCGCAAGCTTAGCGAAATATTAACCCGGTGATTGGGTTATATCGCGAAAACATAACGGGGTGGGGCCGGGGAAAGATTCTAGCCAAACAATTTTTGTCTGTGGGCAGACTACAGAAGCTAGGACAAGACCAAATACATGCTAGAACTCCCCCACGGTGCAAGACTGCATAAGCCTACAACTAGACAAAATCTAACCGAGTTTGCTTTCACAAGAGGTCGACTTCTCGCCTGTTTGTGTTAAAATCTATTGTACACGGTCCGGAAATAATATTGAATTTGATTTTGAGAAGTTTTGTTTTTGTTTTGGTAAACCAAATTAGATACTTATGCCATGCTTTTCCCCACTGGCGCTAAATTGAAAGTGTTTATAGGTGACGCCCGTGACGTCGCGAGGAAGAACTTTTATTCATTGAATTGTGTAACCAACAAATTTCAGGGCCCGAGTCAATTGAAGATGCCGAAGCGCAGTGGGATTGGCTGGAGTCGACTCTTCGTTCATCAACAGCTCATTATCTGATTGTGGGAGGCCATTACCCAGTGTGGTCCATTGCTGAGCATGGTCCCACTAAATGTTTAGTTGACCGACTGAGACCCTTATTACAGAAATATCACGTGACAGCCTATATCAATGGACACGATCACAATCTTCAGGTGAGTGAGTTCTTTTGATGTAACAATGAAGCGTTAAATATTGTATTTTCAAGATTTTTAGATTGTGTTGTAGCAGTTGCGCACTTCTGCGTTCTCATTGCTTGGCCTTGACTGGATTTCATTCAATAAAATCAAGTTAGTTAATGCGCACAGTCGAACTGTTAGGGAGCCCGTAGCCTAGCTGCCAGAGGACATTAAATTGGGGGTCACAACGAGCAAGACACGCGCGAGAGTCGAAGCAGCATGAGCGTGTTGCGATTAGGAAAAGTTTTTCGCACTTTACCAACACGTCTCGCTCGACTGGTCTCGCGTGCGTGTATGACTGCTCGCAAACTAAGATAACCTGCATTGGACTAGCATCCCATCCAGGGTGGAGAAAAACTCCTAGTCGTTTCATACTAAACATACCAGAGTTGAGAGTGACAGCGCGTCTCAGTTTTTTTATCTGTTCTTGTCATTCTTCTTCCTGGCTGACGAGCTTCTTCTTCGTACTCCTGCTCCTCCACCTCCCTCCTCCTCCTTCTCTTCCTCCTCCCCCTATTCCCTCTTCCTACTCCTCTTCCTACTCCTCTTCCTCCTCTTCCTCTCCTCCTCTTCTTCCTCTTCCTCACGCCAAAAACTCTATCACCATCATCACACCACACCGCTCTTACCAGCCCCACCATCGCGGTCACCATAACCATACACTTGTACTTCTTCACCTCACTCTCATCGATATCTTTTGCCAGCTGGTCTGATACCTCTATGTTTGTGTCTTTTTACACGCTTGACATTTTCCTGAACGACTGACCACCTATAGCACTTGAAGGAGAAGAACTCCTCTGTTGAATATTTCGTTATTGGAGCTAGTGGCAAGATAGACACAAGTACAAACCACAAGAATGCAGTACCTGAAGGCAGCTCCCTGTTTTTCTGGGCTGACTCCAGTAAAGGTGGAGGATTTGCAGTAGTACACGTCGAGGCGAGTAACATGACGTTAGAGCTGGTGAATTGTGATGGAACTTCTCTTTACAAAAGAATGCTCTATCCTCGTCAGTCAGTGACACTTCGTTAGCGCCACGTAAAGCTGTAATTTTACAATAACTGTCTAATTTCTCGCTCGCTGATTGGTTCATTTTTATCATCAATAAGAGTACAAACGGATAAAATTTTAATTTATGCAAGCTTTCAACTTCAACTTTCAGCTGTCAAACTGTCAACGTTTTACCAATGAGATTCTATGGACTTTTTTAAGTAGCCAATCAAAAAGCGAGAAAAGCTATTGACAATGTTCGCGTCATTTTAAATAAAATTCACTTATCTTTGTTTACGGCAAGTTTACGGCGTCTTTTCCCTCATTTATTCCCGGCATTTGACCATTTTGGGGGACTTGTCATTGTAAAAAAGAAATCGACGTCAGTTTTTAATGCGTCTGTCCTCTTAGTTATGATAAATTTCGTCATAACATTGTCAAAGTTTCCACAGCCCCTTTGACAATGTTATGACGTAATTGATCATCAATAAGAGGACAGACGCATAAAAAGAACTGACGTCGATTTGTTAATTTGAAGGAGGTTGAAGCGTAACGACTAAATAAACAGGTTCAAGAAGCTACGAACATTTTTACAAAAAATTGTCTATCCTTGTTCAAAACAATACGATACAATACATTACAACACAACACAATATAATGCAATACAATACAATACAACACAATAGAAGTTCAATGTGCAATACAGCGAGAGACGTGGTCTGTTGACAGCCACATGTGAGGTGTTACATCACATGAAAAATATAGGCATCTTATCCATTGTTTGTTCACAGAGAAAATGACTACGTAATCTAATAACTGATTATAGTCTCGATTTGTTGGTAATGCTTGAAACCCTGAGGATATTGGAGTAGAAAGTGTTCGGAAAACTGTCGGGTATATGTTCCGTAAACCGTTTAATTGTTACACACACGATATAAAAAAATTTTTTTCCTTTGTATAGGATACGTGTGAACATTTTACGTAGGGGCCAAACCACCCCCCAAATGTTTCGTCAGTTCTTGGACATTTCACATTATATATTATTTCGCATTACTTAAAAAGTATTGACTCTTTCTACACCAAACTTGGCAGATAAGCAGGAGACCTATTGCAAATTATATTTACGTGAAAAATGTCAGTAAATGTCAAAGTTGTGACGTCACAGTGATGACGTCATGTTTTTTGCCAGTTTTGAAGTTTTTAATATGCATATTTTTTACAATGTGTTCGAAAGAGCACATCAAGGGGAGTTGAAAGCTGAAAAAATTTTGTCCATATCA